TTTACAGCAGACTAGATTATATGGCCTAGTCTTTCTATGCATAAAACAAAGATTAGGGGTGAAATAGAATCTCCCTGGCGAATTTCCCTCCCTAGCTTGAACCATTATATGTTCTCTGGCCGTTCCATAAGACCGCCATCCTTGAAGAGTATCATCAATGAAATCCCAAGCTAGCCTATCGTAGGCTTTTTCCAAATCAATCTTCATTATCATTAACCCCCCTTTCCCTTTCTTGTTCTTCATAGAATTGAGCACCTCCTGATAAATGAGAATGTTGTCAGAAATATATCTGCCTGGAACAAAGCTGGTTTGATGAGGGCCAACCAGTTTCCTTGAAATGTTTCTTAACCTAGATGACATGATATTGGTTATTAGCTTATATAAGACATTGCATAGACTTATCGGGCGGGATTGTTTAACACTACTCGGGTTAGGGACCTTTGGTATAAGTGATAGCAAAGTATCGTTACAATTAGCTGGTAGTACCCCATCCTCGAATAATTTCTTTATGAAACTGAGAAGGCTTTCACCAACAATCCCCCATGTTTTTTGATAAAAGCTAGCCGAATATCCATCTGGTCCGGGAGCTTTACATGGCGCCATTTCAAACAGATTCATCTTGACTTCATCCAGAGTAAGCATTCTATAAATCTCAAGTGTGACAACCCAAAAATTATTTTCTTAAATTCTATTTTATAATTATCCAAAATAATTATTTTTCTTACTCCTTCAAAAAAAAAAATCGGTGTATGAATTAAATATTTTAAATCGTGATTTTAAATCAATTCAACACCAAGAAGTAGTCTATTTCAAAAAATCTTAAGTTTCGGGTACATCTATGTACCAAGTTTTGACCCAAAAAGTCAATCTGAGTGAAACATGTGAAACCTGAACTAAATGTTTTATTTAGAACAATCTTATAGAAAATCTATTTTTAACCCCCAAAGTTGTGTAAAATTATTTTAATGCCTTAGCTTGTGTTAAAGAAGGAGTCTGATGAATGTTACAAGCCTGTTACCCTTTTGCCCTACTCAACCAATGATTTTCCACCTAGGGTTTTGAACCCTTATAAATAGAACACTATTCCATTGCTTCTCCTGATTAGGGGTGACCACGGTTCGAATCGAACCGTGCACTGTTGAACCAGAACCGGAATCGAACCGTCCGTACGGTTTCGGTTCCGGTTCCTAACCGGAACCAATATGGTTCCGGTTAAGGTTCGAGATGATAAGGAACCGGAACCGACGGTTCCGGTTCCAAACCGGAAAAGATTAAAAGTTATAGTTTTTTTTTTTTTTTAAATAAATCCGGTTTTGAACCGGAACCAGAATCTTACTATAAGGTTCCGATTCCGGTTTGTCCATTTCCGGAACCGAAACCGAAACCGCGGTCACCCCTACTCCTGATCCCCTTCCGGTTTGTCCATTTCCGGAACCGAAACCGAAACCGCGGTCACCCCTACTCCTGATCCCCTCTATTGTTGCATCTTCACTCCAAGTCTTAGAATCTGCTAGTAGAGAGAAGAAATCACAGTAAGTGTCTCTGCCCTTCATCTTCTCCATTCATTTCATCTTCCAGACTTGTTCATCCATTCTATGAGTTTGTGTTAAGCTTAGTATGTGTTTATGTTTGTCTGAGAAAATAAGTGGTGAAGGTGGGAATCTTTGAAGGAGAAGGAGAGGGATCCACACTAGAGAAGGCCAAGCTCAAGGTATAAACCATGGATTCCTAAAATTACAATTTTTAGTCTGATAAATGCTAGATTCTTGAGATTAGATGGGTAGAAATGTTAGAGAATAATTGTTGATGAGTTATTTGTGTGTTGATGATGTTATATGTATGATTTGTGGTTGTCTGGAAGCATTTGTTGAAGGTCTGAGATATATTGTTGAAGAAGAAGACCTCTAGTGCACCAGGGTGACGTTGCGGCCCTAGCCAACGGATCTAGGAGAGATTCGCTGGCTATGACCGTGGTCCAACGGACCAGGGTGACGGTCTTAGCGAGATTCATCACTCAAAGCCGCTGCTTGGCGGGGCTTCTCAAGCCCCGTCACCAAGCTCCGCCAGGCTAAGTTCGAACCTTTCTTCAAAGTTCAAACTATCAATAAAATAGATCAAAGTACTGAAGTGTGGTAAAAACATAATAGATGTTTATGAGCAAAGATACCTCCATTGCATGAAGGGTAAGTCAAGCTTAATGCAACAACGTGGCCAAGTGTGGAAGCTTGGTCTGAAATTTTAGTGGTATGCATCTAATATGCTTTAAGTTTAATTACGTATTAGTTTATATTTAAATGATTACAACTTGTTTAGAGGAGACCAAATAAATTCTAACTCCAATTTGGTTAGGAGTTGGTTAAGTAGTAGTGAGTGAAATGCCCAATGATCACATGATAAAATTTCTAGATTCTCGTTGAGCTAAAATTATGAATCTAAATTATAAATTTTAGCTCATCGAGAGTTTAAAAATTATGAATATACAGTATAGAAATTATGGAAATAGATTTGTGCGCACCATGAAAGGTGAACACGTGCTCACAGCATAACGATTGTGGAAAATGACTTCCCAAAAAAAAATGGGAAGTCGTTTCCCCCAAAACATACCTATTTTCCTTTTAACTAATGTATCATTTTTCATTGACCTCATTTTTCCCCCATCTTACCAAACACTAAAAACTCAGAAAACATTTTCAGAAAATCATTTTCAGGATTTCCAAAAGTAGAAGCAAATTAGAAGTTATTAGACGAAGAGAAATTAAAATGTTCACTTTTACAAGGGAATTAAAATGGTTCCCACGCAAGCATGCATGCATCACCTCCCACGGCCACCTTTTCCCTTGCGTTTCTTGGACTTGTTCTTCGCCTTCCCTTTATTGCGCTCACCCTGATTCTTCACGCCGCCGCTCTCCGCTGGCGTAGCCACCACATTACCGGCTACCTCGTCGACAACCTCAGCCGACCCTTGGTTTGCAGCCCCGTCACGTTCTGAATCCACAAACGTAACCTCACCATCGTCCTTCCCCACAACGATGTTGTTCAAGAAAACTTCCAGTCTAGGCTTCCTCGACTGCAAGCTCTTCTGCAATTTCACCACGTCTGCTCGCTTTTCCTCCTCGTCCACACAACTGTAAAATTAACACATGAGACCCCATCTGTTTCCACTCTAGGCACTGAATTGAAACTAGCTATTCATTAACAAGCTAACCTTGTATCCAACTTGTCCGACAGTTGTTTCAGTTCTTGAAGCATGCTTTCAGCTTCCTTTAACATATCTGCATCTTCCCCAGATTGACTTTCCTTCCCAGACATGTAATTAATCACGGCAGTCATGAATTTTATACATTCATTCAAGTCCTTTGAACAAAACAAAGCAAAAACATCTCAGCATTATTACAATTAAGATAACGAATGCTAGCACAAACACGTATAAAAAGGGCTTTCATTATTAGCAAGAAATTAAAGGTTTGATAGTACCTCTGATGATTTAAAGCTAGTAGTTGCCAAGATTCTCGCCTTCCCTTCATTTTCAGTCTCTCCAGTCCTCGAGGAAACTGATTCTTCCTCCAAAACGTGCCATTTCATTTGCAGGAGAGTGCTTTTCACTTCTTCATCTTTCTGGGCCTGATTTTGCGTGGAAGCATGGCCTGGAGATGGCAACAATGAAGTCTCCCTGTCATGGTCTGCAATCAGGGGAAGCACACAACACGGGTTCTTCATGGATTTCTGCACTACAGAAGTAACGCTTTTCTTTGGGAACAGCATTTCCATGATGTCCTCTTTTGAAGAATTTGGGCCTATGCCTAAATAAAAAGTGTTGGGAGACACAGAGGTCTTAGGAGTATTTTCTTTCAAGTTCACAAACAAAGCAGGATTTCCTAGGACTCTGAGAGCTTCAGCAATTTTTACTCTATCTACGAATGCAGTGTGCTTCCCTACACGTCTGCTGAACACTGCATTGAATTCTCTCGGTAGCTCAGAAGAAATATAATGAGTCTTCAAAGCACGAGTGAGAGCATCCCAAGGTTCCCCAGAGGACAAGTTCATGCACAGTGAGCAAAGAATGACCACCAACCTCGAAACCAGCAACTTATGATAGTTTCTGAATTGAATTTTAGACTTCTCAATCCAACGAGCTGTCTCGATTTTGTGGAAGAGGAGCCAATCCACCATGGAAGTGATGGTCGTATAGAAGATTTCAGTAGACCGCAATCTTGTTGGAAAACCGGCTATCACACTGACACCTGGTTTCTGAAAAATCAGCCACTCAAGAAAAGAAGATTTTGTTGTGTAAAAGAAACCACTCGAGCAAAATGCCAAGATCAGGAAACGTTCAACCAGATATAAGAAGCAGTGAGGAGATATGTAGTCATAAATGTTCTGCCAATTGATTTGATAAGTTTCTTTCAAAGCTTCATGGAATCTGGAAACCAAAAGAAAACCTGCTTTACATGGATCTACAGGTGAAGCCTCTTGAGAACCAGCTGATGCTGTTTCATTTAAAGGCATCCTAACACTCCTCAGTATGTTAATGAAAGCTTTCCAATTCGAATCTTCTCGGGTTCTTTCAAAAATTTTATTGCAGAGTTCATCTGCAGGTTCAGCAGACCCAAGCCATATCATCATCAACCGTCCAATCTGCCCTAGTGTAAGTTCACCTTTTCTACTAAGGTCATTAACAATAAATTCTTCAAGTAACTGTCTGGAGACCCGTGTTCCTCTTAAAGAAATTATGTTTTCCTCCAAAGGCTTCTGGTAATCAAGAGGAAAAACTTTTTCGAAGTAATGCATTGAAAGTTGGAAGAACTTTCGCAGTTTGGCCTCATAATTCTTGCAGTGCAGATCCTTAGCAATGATGTATATATTTACCAGGCACATGCTTTGGCTGAACAGAGACGAAGACCTCAAGGAAAAGTTATAAAGAGATTCAAGGGTTTCCAGAACCTTAAGGCCTACAGCAATTACTTCATTCTGCCAGTAATTCCGTGCAGCAATTATGAAATGTCTAACATCAATTGAGACCATATTTTTGCTCTGCCTCAAGAAACTTTGATTGACCTTTTTAACCCATTCAGCATCAGGATTTAATAGAAGATAGCTCACTTTCATATCAGTAAACTGTCGCCGCACACCAAAATAATTCAGGCAGAACTCCCCGTAGCCCTTATATATACCAAAATCCTGTACCTCAAGACAGTTAAGGGACTCAAGAACGTCTAAGATATTTCTTTTCCACAGATTCCAAAAATGACACAGGGTTCCAACAGAGAGTTGGTCACAGAACATGGTGTCATCAGGGTACTTCAGGTCAAAAGGAAACTTGTCTTCCCATGAGTACTTTGTGGCATTAATTTGAGTGTGAGCATCAATAATTTTTCTTAGACACAAAATTTCACCTTTGAGACTCCCACATTTCTGCAAAGCACTTAAAGCACGTCTCAATTCACACAAACTACTTGGATCATGTGATAAGACCTTTGCCTCGGTACAAACAGATTTATAGAAGGCATCGGATTCATTACTTGCAAATGAAATGGCCTTCTTCAAGAGTTCATCCTTAGATTCAAATGACTTCAGGGGCCAGGCTGCCCAGCATCCACGCACCCACAAAGAGTTGGCAAGCACATACCAAAGGATGCGTGAGGATGCCTTGCTGAAATTTCCAGCTTTACCTAGAAGATCTGCCTCTCTTAGGAGATCTCCTTTCAGCTTTGCAAGTTCTGCAGCTTCAGCAAAATTCCCAGACTCTTCCTCTAACAATAACAATTCGTCCAGACAATCCAGAGGCTTCAAGAACTTACGCTTATGGTCCAACGACTTAAAAGCTTTAACAAACTTCATCATTGATTTCCTATCATTGTGATCAAAGAAATCAGATGCACAGCTTTCAAGAAATTCCTGTTCAATTCCATCTATTTCTTTCCCTCTTTCCTGAACATGTTGTTTCCAGTATTCTACATATTGCAATCCCATATCATAAAGGTGTCCCTTGCTGCAAACTGACAAACACTCGGAGAAACAATTGTGCTTTGCATATATGTCTGCGGCAGTCTCATAACGTCCAGCCAATGTAAAACACACTGCAGCTTTTTTATGTTCACCTTCACCACACTTCTTCAGATAAATCGTTCCTGGAGAACAGAAGAAAATAAGAATTGACCAACAACATTCAAATTATATATTTCAAGCATCAATGCTAATATATAGAAAAACATAGCTTCAGAAGGATGTGTCCATTTCAAACACCAACAGTAACATACCTTCACGCCAAGCACAAGGATGCAACTTATAGTGAAGAGGGAAAAATTAATACCTGCAAGTTCATACTCCTTCAGGTCACAAAAACATTCAGCTGCAGATTCAGACCTTCCAATAGACTCAAATATTTCAGCAGCTTCCCTCAAGTTGGTACAGGAGACATTCGGATTTGAATCCCGCATACGATCAGCAGCTTCCCTGAGACTGGTAGCTTTAGTTCTTTTCTCCCAGTTTTTCTCTCCTGCCCTTTCAAAACACATTATAGCCATTTCATAGTTTTTCTCCCAAAAGAGCTGCACCAATAAAATATATTCCACTGCTATTAGAAAACCTGAATTTAAAAGGCCAAAACTATTCGATAAGTTTCTTGGATTATGCATAGTCTAGAAGTCTTCAAAAAGTTTATTTTAATCCCAGACGTTTATGAATGATATTGTTAATAAAATAAAAATAAAAAAAATAAAAATAAAAAACCGCTCTGGAGATAGTCTTATACTCAGACATGTAGATATCAACAAAAGTAAAAAATTATACTAGCCAAAAAGAAAAGCAAGATCAACTGACCTTAATTCCCCGTGATCTCCACTGCTCAGGAGTGCTTGCCAGTTTCATAGCCTGTGCAAGTGAGTTATCAACCTCCCTTACCTCCACAAGGCACATTTTCATCCAATAATCAAACATAGGTTTTGAAAACTCCTCTATACTTTCACAGATCCATAACCTTTGCCTTGTCCGAGTAATAGCCACATAGAGCTGCTTTAATTCAGAACACAAAATGGTATGCCTTGCTTCACAAAAACATGGGAAGCATTGATGAAATTTCGAGTCAAGCATTTCTCGCTGTTTCATAAATTCATATACTACTCTCCATTGATTTCTAAGTGGTGAAGAACCAAAGAAGTTGTAAAGCAGTACGTCCTACAATAATACATGATAGTTGTCAGACAATATAGCAGAACTGGTAAGAAAACGAGTTCTAGCACACATTCTAGTTAATGTGATCACAAATTTCGATGGAAGCAGACAAAGTACATAGCGTCTTCCATTAAAATTTGTGATCAAGCAAAAATTATCATAATATCGCGAGACAGTGAAAGAGAAAAGAATCATAAAGGAATTGGAAGAATAGGACAAGAGAAGCAGCATGCAGCATGCTATAGCAATCTCACTTACCTGGAACTCTAAGCCTTTGCACTCAACTATTGTTAAAATAAGTGCTTGTTTTCCAACCAAGTCAGAAACTTCCTTCTTAGCTGACTCGTCACGCACCAATATGACTTGCTCAGCGCCAAAACCCACCATTTTCCCACTAATACTCCCACTGTTACCAAAGATAGTTACAATAGCATTTTCATCACTGCCAGGCTTAAGTAATACAGGAGCTTCACCATATATAAGACTGGTCTCTGGTGCCAAAGCATCAATAGATTGAGGGAAATAATGACAAAGAATATCTATTACACTCTGAGCAAGCCTTAGAACACCAGCATGAGTACGGAAGTTCTGTAGCAAACAAGAGACCCCAGCAAGATGACCTTTATCTTTTCGTGCCGGAGGTCCATCACCCTTTAATTTCATGATAAACTCCTCATAGAATAAAGTCCGCACATCTTCAAACCTAAAATCTATCCCTCTGGCAATTGTTTGGGCGGTGTCACCAGAAAATACAAAGCCTTCATTGACATTTTTGCAAATATACTTGAACAGTGAAATCTGCCTCATTGTAAGGTCTTGAACTTCATCAATATATACAAAATCCATTTTGTCACCATTCAAGTTTTCACTCTTTAATCGAAGATGAAGATCATTCACTAAATCAGCTAAATCAAATTCACCCCGCTCCATCTTCATTTTTTCATAACCAAGAAAGATGTCATAAATTACCTCTCTCTTCTTCTCATTCAAAGTGGATGTTCTGTTCTCAGACATTGAAATATATCCCTCATGGGTGAGTTTTGCACCATCTGTCTCACACACTTGCAAGCCTCCTTTTATATGTGAAATTATCTCAGTAAACACTCTAGAAGGATCAAGATTCTTTGTCAATTGGGAATTGAAATGAGGCCAATACAAGCAACAGAAGTGGTCAAAACTAACCCCTTTCGTTCTTATGAAACTTTCTACAGTGGCTGCTCTTGACATACTGTCCAGAGAAAGGTTGCTTGTATCCAGGAAACGGTCAAAGTATGAAGACCCCAGTGTGCCATCAAGCATCATCAAAAACTTATGAAATGTTATTACCAGAGGATACTTACTATCCGGAATGTCAACAAAAGAATTTGGAATGTCTTTAAAATGTGAAAATCCATCCAAATCATCCAAATCCATCACACTGTTCCCAGCAGAGATTTTACCTCCCTGAGCAAAGCTGCAGGCATAATAAAGGTTTACAGTTACAGATAAAACATCTTTGACTATGAAAACAGGCTTTTATGCGCTCTATATTCAATGGTAAGAGCTGTTTGAACAAGCCAAGAACATCATAACATACATCTTACTTCATGTGATAAAATGCATGTCAAGTAAGCAGAAAGTGGAAAACATTAAATTAGGTAATGGATACAGAAACTTTTTGAAGTAAAAACAAGCAAAATCCATTAATTTGAAGTAACTTTTTAACATCATAAAGGTAACTAACTGAGCAGTGTACTTCTTAACAACAAGCTGTAAATAGACGATAGAATCTGACAGAAACTAAATTAGATTGTTCATGCTCACCGTTTCAGATGAGAAACATGTTGTTTGACGGCATAGCATAGCTTTGGACTAACTGTGACAAAAAGCTGCCTTAAGGTAGTCCTCTTAGTATCAACTTCGGATTGACTCTTCAATGTACTCTCAGATCTATAAAAGCTACTTTCTCCTGCATACTCACTTATCTCATTTGCCTCAACTTTCATGACTCCACCCAAGGCAAGCTGATGCTGTTGCTCCCTTTGAAATAATTTCATGGTCAAAACAGTAGTTTTCCCGGTGCCTGATCGACCCAATATGAAACTGCTCCTTCCAAATTGGATTATCTCCTTCTCCTCATCAGTAACTTCAAAAGGGATATCAATTTCTTCACCTTGGTTGTCAGAGAGCAAATGATGGACAACGCCAGATGATAAGGAGTAAAACTTCATCAACAGTAAGCTTTCATTCACCCATGAATTTTCAATGTAACTTCTACCATCCACCACACAGTCATTTGAGCTGTCTGCCAATCTTTCACCAAGATTCTTGAACCTTACAAGATCACAAGAAGCTGGCCAAGCTTTTGGAACTTCCAAGTCCCTGGGCAAAAAATAAAAGCAATTTAGAAGAGTTGTCATATCTTTAAACAATGTAGAATGTAACACTATAATTCCGAACGAGAACACTCATTGCAGGTATAATAGGATATGTAGAAACCAACATACCCATCTAGGCACCTCTGCTTGCACAAATTGATAAAATCATCAGTATACATAGCAAATATGCCATCAAGACGTCTCAATAATTTTCCAACCTCATCAAGAGACAATAAATCCCAGGCCCTCAACACTTGTGTGTATTTCGCCTCCTTCTGAATGTCAGTGGTGCAGACTACATAGTACCCTTCAACCTTAAACTGCTTCACAATCTGTGATGAAGTTTCACCCACCAAGTCCACGCCTTTTCTCTTAGGTCTCCATCCACCAGCAAGCTTAATTAAAAGATTAAGCACTGCCTTTTTCATGCGAGATGTCACCAAGTTTTTAAATGATCTTTTGAAATTGTCACTTAAAAGAACCTAACAACACAAGGAAAGGAAAATATAAATAATATCCAAAATGGTATTTAGTACTACTAACAACTTTAGATGATATAATCTAAAATTAGGAAGCATACTAAAATAGAAAACATAAACACCGCCGAAATTTTAAATAGCAAAACGGATGGATAGATGAGATAATCTAAAATTGGGCCAAGGTCACTCAACTAGGCTATATTGCATATGGGCCAAACCACACTAAAAGACTGAATCCACTCAATTAACTAGTCTAATCCATGGCCTTATATAAACCAACATGTTCTCTCTTATTTTTTTTCAACCTGGGACTCGACAAGATGAAAAAATAAAAATAAAAAAACAAAACAAAAAAGCGATTGCATTAAGATAAAAATTTAAAACATAGCAATTCAAAATATCATCTGACTCGTTTGATTCAAACACCACGTATATAGTTGAAGCATTAAGTGTAAGAAACACATTAACATGGAAATTCCTGAAGGTCAAAACTCCAAACATCCCCCTCTAATTTACTCAAAAAGACAAATTTGCCATACAACAATTAGGCAGAGTGGATATGTTGAATGTAATGACAAAAAATGCTAAAGCAGTCAAATTTGACATCATTGATACCACATGTTTAGCAACAATAGGATCAAGCAATCAAATTGGTTTACCTTCCATCTTTGACTTTTGAATACGATACTATTTGCATTGAGCAAATCATCAAGTTGATCCAGTTCTTTCATGACATCAAAAATAGTTTTCGACAGACCACTGTCTTCATCAGCAGAGAAGAGACACTGGCGCTCCTTTGCATCAAGAACTAAACTTTTCCAAACTGAATTGCTATCAAATAGTGTCCTTTCATTTCCCAAGATCCACAAACAGTGCCTAGACGAAACAGAAGAAATAGTTATAAGACACTTTAAGGACTGCCAGTTTCAAATTAGAAAGATCAGAAGATAACCCATACCGTGCCCTGGTCAGAGCAACATTAGTTCTTTGCAAACTTTTCATAAAACCAATGTTGCCACTACTATTAAATCTCACAGTTGATATGATTATGATATCTTCTTCTCCACCCTGGAACCCATCAATAGACTTCACCTTAATTGCAAACCCGTTAAGGTTGTCATACTTTCTGCCAATAGTATCTTTTATGGTGACAACTTGAGCAGTATATGGAGATATAACTCCAATGCTAAGCTTCTTTCCTGTGCTAAGCCAAACTGTATAAATACGGTTTTGGAAAAACAAAATTGTTAAAACATTACATGAGAACTTAACTAAATTGCCATCCAGATGTGCTTAATAAGATAAGTCAGTAAAATAAATACAAAACAGAAAGTAACACATTTCACTTCAATCAGGTTTACTTTGTAGAAGCTAACAAATATTAACTCATAATCACACTTCGAATTTTAGCATCAGTAAGGCTTCATTAGCAAATGGGGAAAGAGTTTGGGGGGATGGGGGTGGGGGGGGGGGTGGGGGATAGAAAGTTTAACAGAATTAATGGCAAAAAAACATAAACAAAAAGTAGACTTACATTTGTACAAGTCCTTCACTATCTTATTTACTAAAGCCACCTCAACCATATTTCTTCTGCTATGCCCAATATCATCCAATTCTTCTTTTCCACAGGGGATACTGATAAAAGAATATGGGCCATACATTCTTCCCCGAAGATACTTTCTCTCATAGGTTTTGCCTCTCACATTTGCAGCATCTTGGACTTGACCATGATAGAAACTCACATTTGGGAAATAACTGATTGCTGGATGCATACGGTATTGCACATTAAGCATGAGTTTTGAATGACCCAATGAACTTAACCTTTCAAACAAGCTTCTTCCAAAACCAGCTTCATCAGACACCTATAGCAATTTTCCATGTTCATCATGTCAACAAAGCTGTCAGTAATCAGATGCCAGATAGGGAGTACTATAACTTAAAAGAATGAAATACTCACTTTGCTGTGAACGATTGCCGGTAATTGGCATTCATCGCCTACAAGAATTGCGTGCTTCAGACCAGGAAGATGAAGTGGAATTACTGATTCACATTCCCTCAACTGGGCAGCTTCATCAATGACCAGTACGTTGAACGGCTCCATCTCGATTGAGTGTATCTTATACGAACTAGAAGTAGTGCAGAAAACCAAGGTCGATGTCTTTAAACACAAAACCCTTATCAAGTATTTATTTGATGAACGTGGAAGACCAAGTCGTCCCAAAGAATGTAGAAGAGTTTTCAGAATAGAGACGCACTGGCTTCTCAAGCATGCCAAGGAAGATGTATCTGCAAATGACTCAGGGGAAACATCAGAGATTACTGGTTGTGAAAAAACACTGTTCAATTCTTCAGATCCCATATCCACCTGAAATAACATTCCATTTAGAGAATCCAGTAGGCATATCAGGGAAATGATATCTTGGAAATTTCTTTCTTGAATGAAATGCCTGGGTAAATGAGTACACAGTATAAGCATGCACCTTCTGAGGGGAGATACTGTACCCTCAAAGCACGATTTAATAAACTCGGCAAAGGTTTTAGGTTGTGGACTTTCTTCCAAAGTTTCACCTTTATCCCTCAACTCTCTCATTTTTATCAATTCATTTTCCACATAGATTTTATAATCAGAAACACAATCCTCAAGAAAATGAATTGTTGAAAGAATGCAGTGTCTCCAACCTTTCAACCCCAAACACTCATAAAGCTTGTCAACACGATAGTCTAGATACATATCCTCAGTGCCTACATCCAGCTTCAATCTATCGTTGTTTCCAAATAGGAGCACATCCCCCACTGGACATAACAAATTTTCCTTCAAAGGTTCATCTTTAAAAGACTCGTATACCAACTTAACCACACGAGAGGCGACTTGTGTTATTGCCACATTTGTAGGTGCACAAATAAGTGTTCTACAGTTCTTTTTCAAGAGCATAAAAAGCAATATACTAATAGTACTTGTCTTTCCAGTACCAGGAGGACCCCATATGAGATCAACATGCGATATTTGGTCACATTTCACCCTTTCAAGGCAAGTTAATACTGCATTACCTTGTGATTCATTCAGTTTGGAGAACATGCTAGTTCCGACTCTTTCAGTGGAACCAATATTATCAGCATGCGGAGAGCAGAGACAATGTTTGTTCTCAGCCTATTCAAAGATCAATCAAAACCATTTAAAACTAAAAGCAAAACTACCAAAAAGCAAGAAGTAAGCATCAACATTGTAGGTTGAGAATGACAGAACCTTGAGTGAAACAATTATCACCAGAATGTAAAAATGGAATGAGCTGAAGTAAAAATCAAAGTGAGAATGCCACTTACCTCACCATTTGTGTACAAAACCATGTCAATAACCTCCATGTTTTTCCTCATTCGCAACGCATTCCAAATCCTTTTATGCGTTGTAATGTTTTGTAAGAACACAATGTGGAATCCTTCAAATTTTTCAAGATTGGCAGTGAGATCAATCGGCATTTTCACTTTGAAATTTGTGGAGATATTGGTATCATCCTCCTCATCATCCATGATACTAACTACTGAAGCAAGTGTCCAGTTCCACCCAGCTCGATTTAAATCAGAAACCTCCATTGGCCTATTATCTGAGATTAAAACCATGTCTCCTGGCAAGGTTTTGTATGGCTCTCCGTCATCACGCACTCTATTCTTCCAAGAGTCCACATTAACATTAAATAGAGTTTCCCCATGTTTCTTAACCTCACCAAGGGCAATCACTTCAGCATACGGCGCTTTGCCCATTACTTCCATAGATTCTGCAAGCTGAGCACGTGTTTCTTCCAATAAAGGATAGATGAAAGAGCCTAGATAATGCTCCGCTGAAGTGAATGTGTCTGGAATCATCTCGACCTTTTGAAAGAAAAAAAACAAGTTCGTGATGAGTATGAGTATCCAAATATTCAATGGTAACACAGTTCTAGAATGAATGCAGTAACAATAGTAGCAATTGAAAAGGACAACCCCGGCCAGATGATTTGGTGTTACAAGTTTGGCCTCACAGATTAAAAGCGGCCTATTGCCCATTTCGGCGATCAGTTTTGACAATCTAAACTGATTTACTTTTAGATAATGGCTGTTGATAACTCAAAAATAGTTGCAATTGAAAAATACAAAGCATTAAACAGAAACTGAAACGGGCTTATGGGCATAAGCATCCATAACCACCCCATCAACTGCACTTTGCATCGTTTAGAAGTCGAAGAGATACCTGGTATTTGAACAGATCCTCGTTAAAAATGTGTTCCAGAGTCCACGAAAACACAATGTCAATGAAGTCATCTTTAGGCCAAGCAGAGGAAACCCTCTCCATTTCTTCGCCAAAAAGCTCCGAGTACAGAGAATGAAGTAGAAAATGCAATATATTTTACTCCAGAACCCTCCCTAGTCTCACTTGAAAGGATCACAAACAAACAAACAGCAAAAAGAAACCCCAAAATTCAACAACTAAAGCCATACGTGCATGTCTTTATGGGTCGGGTATATACATAGAGATAAACTAGGCTTTCTTTGCAGCTTCAGTAAGAAAACGCAATATAATGATCAAAGAAAATGGAAAAGGTGATGAATATGTGTAAAGGATTTTCTTGAAAATGGACAAAATCGTTTCTATTTCCTGCTGGGAAAACCGTTCTCCACATAATAACGTCGATCACACTTTTCCATTCACTTATTCCGTGGAAATGAAAGCCAAAGCCGAATATCCATTGACGCAAAAAGACTTTTTCTTTTATTTTTTTGTTTATTGGTTTGGGCTGCAAGTCTGCTACAGTCTTCAAGCTTTCAGTCTACTCTTTTTCTATTGCTATCACTCTATCAGTCTATCACCCTATCACCGGACGATAGTACAACTTTTTCTTTCAAATATCTTTCCTTTCAACTTTAATTATGAATGTATTTCTTCGCACTAAGGTAATCTTCAGTTCGTTACTGCATTTTGTGATTATACTATACCAATTACCAAGTATAAATAATAAACGTATAATTTAGCTATAAATTTAAATTTTTAATTGAAAAGAAGTATGTCCTTCGATACTTTGAATGTTATATCGCAAATTAAGGGTGGAAATAAGCTGAGCCGAGCTTTAGAAAATTAGGCCTGGGCCTGTTACGAAAATCTAAAGCCTAGGCCTGGGCCTGAGCCTGTATGTAGGCTTTTTGTTAGGCTCAAGCCTGATCCTACAATTAGCCTGGCCTGACCAAAAGTCTTTTTAAAAGTCTGTTTAATATTTAGGCCATTAAAAAGACTTCAAAGTAAATCCTATTTGAGCCTATTTAAATCCTACATGTTAAAACTTTAATAAGTATATCTAAATAATTTAAGAAATATACCTATTACAAAACTAATACATAATTACATAAGTATATCCACACAATGCAAATATATTAGCATTAAATATAAAATAAAATTAAACAAATCACAGCTACAACATGCTCGTTAACATGTTTAGAAATAAATTCAATTGTATTATTGTTTGTTATCCTATATGATCTCACAAATAATTAACAGTCAACTCACATAATTAAGTTGTGACATTTTATGAAATATTATGACAATAAGAACAGTTAATAAAAAAAATTAAACAATAAAAACACTTACATCAGAATTAACAACAATATTTATAGTTGAATCATAATCTAGAATGGAATTTTGGAGGTGGATAGTTAGATTTTGGTTCAGTTGAGTCACCGATCTAGCCTCTGTGATTAATGTTCAGTTGAGTCACCATGATTTACAACCTCCCACCGCTCTGTCGGGCCGGGGTGTGGGGGGCCCTTAAGGTTCTAAAAGCACTAAACAACATGTACTCCCTTGACCAAAATTAAACAAAGAACAAAATTCTAAAAGCACTAAACAACATGTACTCCCTTGACCGAAATTAAACAAAGATGATAATCAATATTTACAAGTAGAACAAAATTCTAAAAGCACTAAACAACATGTACTCCCTTGACCGAAATTAAACAAAGATGATAATCAATATTTACAAGTGGCATGTTGTAGAGAATCGCGTCTGTGCGATAGGTGGTGGCCGGTCGCCTAGAATTTCGGCGGAATCATCGTTCTAGGCTACCGACTAGGTCACGACGGCTAGGTGGGCGTTTAGACTACCGGTTAGTTATTTTTTTCGTATTTTTTTAAATGAGTTATTTCGCTCAAATGGATGCCGTTTTTAATGAAAAATAACCCTAAATAGTTCAAATTGGTTGCAAACTCAAAAAAAATGTAATAAAAAAATCAAAATCAGGTACTCTAATATTAATACTTTGTGAGTTGTGACTTTGTGTTGTGTTTTGATTCTTTAAATTTATACAACTTATAAATTTTAGATGTTTTTTTAAGTTAATATTTAATATTTTAGTACTTACTATTAAAGTATTACACAATTTATAATTACAAAGTCTTAAATAAATGTTTTTTAAAAAATGGACATTAGGCGCCCGAGAAACGCCTAGCAATTTTTGCAACCTTGATGACGACAAAATAAAATCCGTCACTTTAATTTCGCCACGTGAAGAAACATACCAATACCCCTTTTTAATTAGGAAATGAAATTTTGAATTGAAGAGATAATCAAAACCTATAGTTATGTATTAAAAAGTTGTCAACCAAACAACTATGATTTTGATTTCATTCATAGTGTATAAACCCATGAACCAAACACAGGGAAAGGAAAATATAAATATTATCCAAAATGGTATTAGTACTACTAATAACAACCATAGACAATTAGAAAACATATTAAAATCGAAAAGATAATAACGGTCATAAATGAGTTATAATCTAAAATTGGGTCAAGGTCAATAAAATAGATTATAATTTACATGAGTGAAATCACATTAAAAGACTAAATTCAATTAGTTGGCTAGCCTAATCCAATTTAACAACTTCTGCTCCCTTTTCCTCCTCGTCAACACAACTGTAAAATTAACACAAGATCATCTGTTCCAACATAGCCAAAAAAAAAAAAAAAAAAAAAAAAAAAAAAAAAAAAAAACCCTAAACTTTCAGGCACTGAAATTAGCAGTTCATTAACTAACTAACCTCGTATAATTGAGTTTCCTTCCCAAACAAGTAATTAACCACGGCAGTCATGAATTGTATGCATTCATTCAAGTCCTTTGAACAAAACAAAGCAAAAAAATCTCAGCATTACTATTAACGAATGCTACCACAGACACAAATCTACAAAAGGGCTTTCATTCTCTAACAATTAAAGAAAAGGTTTGATGTACTAAAAAAAAAAAAAGAGTTAATTCCAGCATTGGTCCTCTGACTATCGTGATTTTCCACAATTGGTCCTCGACTTTTAATTTGAACAATTTAGACACTTGACTATCAAAATGTTTCCAATATTAGTCCTTCCGTTACAAGATGGTTAAGTGGACATCCAATTGAGGGGTAAAAGAGCCTTTTTAACATGCTTTGCGTATAATACATATCGTTCTCCTCTCTATACGCGATAAAAATCAAAATCCCAGCAAATTTCTAGAGAAAAATACTGTGCAGTCAGAAAACGCCGCACCGCCTCCGTCATCTCATGTTGTTTCTCTTCTTCAATCCTGACTAAACTGAGACAATGACTCCGTGGAAAAGCCATAAAGAGATTGAAGGGTTTCCAGAACCTTAAGGCCTACAGAGAAAACTTCATTGCGCCAGTAATTCCTGGCAGCAATTATGAAATGTCTAACATCAATTGAGACCATATTTTTACTCTGCCTCAAGAAACTTTGATGTACCTCTTTAACCCATTCAGCATCAGGATTTGACAGAAGATAGCTCACTTTTGTATCAGCAAACTGTCGCCGCACACCAAAATAGTTCAAGCAGAACTCCCCATAGTCTTTATATTTACCAAAATCCTGCACCTCAAGACACTTTAGTGACTCAAAAACGTCTAATATATTTCTCTTCCATAGATTCCAAAAATGACAGAGGGTTCCAACAGAGATTTGGTCACAGAACAATGTGTCATCTGGGTACTTCAGGTCAACTGGAAACTTATCTTCCCATGAGTACTTTGAGACATCAATTTGAGTGTGAACATCAATAATTTTTCTTAAACACAAAATTTCACCTCTGAGACTCCCACATTTATGTGTAGCACTTAGAGCACGTCTCAATTCACACAAACTACTTGGATCATGTGATAAGACCTTTGCCTCTGTAGTCTGTACAAACAGATTCATAGAAGGCATCAGATTCATTACTTGCAAACGAAATCGCCTTCTTCAAGAGTTTATCTTTAGATTCAAATGACTTCAGGGGCCAGGCTTCCCAGCATCCACGCACCCACAAAGAGTTGGCAGCTTCAGCATAATTCCCATACTCTTCCTCTAACCATAACAATTCATCCAAACAACCCCAAGGCTTCAAGAAATTACGCATATGGTCCAACGTCTTAAAAGCTTTAACAAACTTCATCATTGATTTCTTATCATTACACTTAACGAAATCAGATGCACATCTTTCTAGAAATTCCTGCTCAATTCCATCTATTTCTTTTCTTCGTTCTTGGGCATTTTGTTTCCAGTATTCTAGATATTGCAATCCCATATCATAAAGGTGTCGTCCCTTGCTGCAAACAGACAAACACTCTGGAGCTTCGCTACCAAAGATAGTTACAATAGCATTTTCATCACTTCCAGGCTTAAGTAATACAGGAGCTTCGCCATATATATGACTGATCTCTGGTGCCAAAGCATCAATAGATAGAGGGAAATAGTGATAAAGAATATCAATTACACTCTGTGCAAGTCTTAGGACACCGGCATGGGTACGAAAGTTTTGAAGTAAAAGAGAGACCCCCGCAAGATGACCTTTATCTTTTCGTGTAGGAGGTCCATCACCTTTTAGTTTC